TCTTTCTCCCTCCTTACTTCTAACGGCACTGTGTGACACGAATATAGGACATCCACTGAATGATTACTCATATTAAGAGAGAGAAAAAATACAACTCTGCTTGAGACTGTACAATTACGACAAGTGCTATTGAAAAATTTCTATATAACCATTGAACCAATGATAAGCAATAAAAAAAAAAGCTTTACCCGCTTGTTAGCCTCATTTCGAAATTCCTTTTCTTTCGAAATCGATATGTAACGTGACTTGAAATCTATCATTTTAAGCAAAGGTGTTAATCATTATTGATTTAGAAGATTTCTTTGCTGCTTAATAGGACTATATCATTTTTTTGTGCGAAATACCAACGCACTTTACTACGCAGTCCATTAGCGGCTTTTGCGAATTTTCTTAATCGTTCTTTTGAGCAAATATAGAAACATTAAGCGAGCTAAGTAGAGGTTAGCTTCAATGCCGCCGTGGGTTATTTTATTACAACTTACGGAAAAGACATTCATCGGATCGTTGTCTATTAAAAAGGCCGGTATAGAAAGTGATGTAAGGTAGACGGCCTAAGAATTATTAGTTATTTTTGGTTTATTCGGTTCAACTTTTGACGACTAGTAGTAAAAGTTAGCGTCCGAAACTTTTTATTGAAAGTTTTTTTTCATAGATAGGTTTGCCTTCAGCATTCAAAGTTTACGAACAATAACTGAAGCTTAAAAGCTGCCGCATCCATATCCATCACCGAAGGATGAAGGATGTATTCATTCACTTTGCTAAAATGTTTGCAACGCCCAGAAGGCAGCATCAGGGATCCCACAGAGATATTCTTGATCACCATCAAATTCCAAGTCGATTTAAGCGTGTCTGCTTTTGTGTGTGTCCGTCCGTTTAATGTCTGTTGTAAACATTCTCCCGGAGGCAAAAACGAAGCTATCGATGTCAAATTTAATAGAAATATTGGAAGTTCTTCCACACTGGTTGGTATATAAAATGGGCTGAATCGATCACAGCACCACGTAAACTGAGAGCACCTCCGCTTCGAAGGCAATCGAAAATTGGGTTTTTGCCCAATACCTATAAATAAATTACGTCAAACAAATGTACAAAAATTTGAATATATACTCTATGAGCGACGCTGTAATGCCATAACATTCCATTACAAAAATGGAAAAAAATTGACCACGCCTACACAATATTTAAAAAATTTTTTTCAGCACCGTTATGAGATACAACAACACGCTTCAAAAACGCCCAAAAATATACATAAATTCTTATCCAGTTTTAAATCCAGAATTCATTTAAACATATCCGTCTGTCCCTCTGTCTGTCAGTCCTATTGTGTAGTATCTGTGGTACACACTATCATGTTAGTGAAAATGAATACATCGTCTATAAATTTGCAAAAGAGTTTCGAAGTGATGTAAACTTTTCTAAGGACACGCCCGCAATGCCTATGCCACAAAAGGCTTTTTTCGAAAATAAAGGAAATCAGCCTTGCCCACTGCCTATTAGAGAGCAAGAAAATTTAATTCTTTTACTTTTTTCGGCTATTATGGGATAACGGTGTTTGGTATAAAAGATTCAGTCACGGAGACTTAAACAGTGAAAAGAGCTTGAGAGCCGTTAGGTGCATTCCAGAAGAAAAATTTCAAAGCCTTTTGATTCATCGACATGCAAGAACATAATTGCATAATAGCCTCATATATATAAACTGCTAAATAAGCAAAAAAAAAAAAACAAAAGCAAAAGTTGTCATAAAATTAGAGAAGACTATAATTAAATTTGCTTCATGCTATGAAGTATGACTTTCTATTTGTTGCTATAGTTACTTGTTTATCGCATATTATTGGCCCCGTTTATACTACCAAAAGAGCGATATTCTAGCGATATTGTTGTGTTGTCATCCCTTCTGTAACATTAAGAAAAACGAAATTCAACCCTTATTAAGTTATGATATAAGTATAAGAAATTCGACTTCTTTCCATTTTCTAATGCCTTTATATAAAAATTTCTTTGAAACTCTTGTTTAATATAATTGTTTGCATTTAGACTATTAGAATTGAGGAAAAGACACTCCGCCATTCTGATTATAAATAAATATCGTTTGGCCGTGCTAGCTGAATTAAAAGTCTACGCAAAATATTAGCATACATCTGCTTGGATTAGCATGGAAGTGCCCAAGATATTCACTAATAATTTCCATTCTGACACGAAAATAAGTTACGAAAAAAACTGATAAGGCGAGTCTACGAGTCTTGGTTGACACAATTATTACGAATTCAAGCTTTTGTCGAAAAGGACAGATCTTCAAGCTTTCAAGCTTTTTTTCTTGTATTCAAAAATTCGCTAATTTGCCCATATGTTCGTTGGTGATTAGCAAAAAACGATCACTTTCTCCTTCTCCTTGGTATAAAATTGTGTATGCTTTCTAGTTATACCCGTCGTAAAGAGTATATCAAGTTTGTACAAATCTGAATATGTAACCCTCGGAAGAGTTTAAGCTAGTTCCACCTTTTGTTATATCGATATAAACTTCGTCGTGTATCCGTTCTCTCTTCGTACTTTTTGCGTTCAATCGTGAGGTCGCAAAATCTTTAAGTTAACTTCAGGAAATTCTGCATACCGACGCGTTTTTGAACTCAAGGCGGAGATCTGTTGATGGGACCATGAAAAAAAAATTGCAAATTTCAACACCTATTGGAAAAATCGCGATTATTGGCGCATTAAATTGATGTAAAAAATTTAGATCAGGTGGGGAAATTTTTTGAATACCTTTCCTTGCTATATAAACCTTCCTGCAAAAACTAAAGAGCAAAAAGGTACAATTCTATATATTATTATTATTATTATTATTAGAAATTTAGCCAGAGAATAAATTCTAAGACTAAAGTCTTAAAGCACCAGCATCTAAGGCTTTCGGCTTTATTAAAAACTCTACCGCACTTGAGATTCGAACCCACGACCATTGAGTTGCTAGTCGAGACTCTTGCCTACTCGGCCACTCAGGCGGATAATTCTATATAATAATAGTAATTTGACTTAAAAATTGACCTTAGGATATTCGATTTTTATGAATATGTTTTTTGGACTCCATTGCTTCTTGCCCTCCAAGCTGATGGTTGTTCGACTTAAATCAAGACTAACTTCTCATTGGTTTGACTTTCGATTGCGTGACAAGTTCATAAAAGAATCACATCAATTTTGTTATGTATTTTTTCGTCGCAGTGTTTTGTCATAATCCACGTAGTGATATGTTTACTCAAAACAGGTTTTGTTCCCGCAAAATACATCGTGAACAGTATATGGTGGCAAATAATTAGGACAACTAAAAATCTATATCGATCTTTTTTGACTTTCTTCGCACTAAAACTTTTTAATGAATCCAGAGCAATGCAAATGAAGGCGAAACCTTTTAAAAGTACTTTTTCTTTACTATTTGTTTATGTTTATAAACTTTTTTTTTGTCTTTCTTTTCTTTTTAATTTTTAAGATGTTCTCTAAATTTTCTCCTCACTTTTTCGACTCTCCCGATCATCGCATCACAAATTATGACGAAGCCAATTGAAAATAAATTTGATCGGACTATTTCTGCGGAGAAGAATTTCTATGAAAAAAGAAAAAATTGCCTTCTTAATATTTCTTGACAAAGGTATACGAAAAATAAGAAAATATGTGAAAAAATAGTTCTAATAATAGTTTTCGAAGCTCCTCTCACAAAAATGTTGTTATAACAAGTAGGCTGTTAACACAAAAAGATGTTCTATGATGAAAAACTATATGAAATAGTTATCTGAGATATAAATGCACTACCTCGGCCTAGTTTTCGGATGTTTATGAAAAGCAGGACTTTCACATGGGAAAAAACTCTTAATGATGATAATACCCTATGAGGAATATAGGTAAGAATTGTATTAAGCTTTTATAGTTCACCTTTGCGGGCTGCAACATTTTAACTTGTTTAAATTAGTAGTTAAGATCTAAGATAAGAATTTAGATAATCTTTCTAGATTTTAAGGCTTTCTCAGCAATTTGAATATATTTCATGAAAATTATTCACGATAAGGTGTTAAAACTATTGAATAATCGTGAACGTTGTGAACGTACAGAAGGACGGATAGAACCACTTATTATTGTAACTATCATTTTCTAAATCGGTGTAAGCTTGTCTGTACGTCTGTCCGTCTACGCATCTTGTTTTCTTGTGTCACATCACTTGCAGTCCAAAGGTACATTAGCTTTGCATGGACGCATAAAACGTACAGTATGGCGAGGATATATGTGATTAATTTTTTTCTTCCTGGTTTAGTGAATGAGAAAATTGCGGTTCACGGTGTGAAGTCAATTCTCAAATTATTAATGAAGCCACCCTTACATTCCGTAAAAGCAACTGTCTGGTCTTTATCCCTTTTGAAAATGAACATGTCGAACCTGTCACCACGAAAGGAGAGCGTTAGAAAGATCGCTACTATACTTTTAACTTGAATGCTAAACCAATGATTTAAACATTTAGTTTCCACAAAATAGGTCTAGATGTCACACTGCCTAGCAAACTTGGCTTTGTGGGGATTTCTAAAAAGTATTGATTCACAACAGTATTTAACCAGATTCACGTATTGAAGACGAATATTGAAGGCATTCGATGAAATTAAGGCAGATTTAGCGAACAAAGTACCCAAAAATTGGGTTTATTGGGTCCACCCGTTCAAGAGCTGTCGTCGCGGCTACTTGAGTGAACATGGAACTTGATAAAAATGAAAATCCTTTAAAATAATTACCTAAGCGTTACTCAGTTCTTTTAATGTTTAAGTAATCGGACAACTCTGCTTAAAAAACTAAGCACTTGCTTATGATAATGAGATGTAAAAGTTTTTTCTTGTTCTTTCAAAACAACATTAGCTATGAGAAGCTGCTTGTATATTTCTTATATTTGCGTTAGACTAAGAGCAGTTTTCCTATTTGCTTAATATTATGTTAATTAATGTTTCTTATGTCCTTTCGTCTTGGGGTTTACAAACCTGTTGTTCCATCTTTTGATTACGATTATTTATTGCTGACATTTTCTTCGTTTTTCTTTCGCCAACACTTGATGATGAACTTTTTTATTATACGGGGGAGAACACTTAAAAAAGTTGTTACGACAAGCAGCAGATTGTTACTGAAACTAATTTTATTATTTTGCTATTATTTGTTTTTTGTACTATGTGGCGGCAGAGGCGAAGTTTAAAGTTTACAAAAACAAAACACGTTCGTATACGCAAACAATCAAGATGTCGATACGCTATTAAATTTTATCGGAAATAAGGAATACAATTATTTGTTGTTAATTTAATGTTGTTGTCGTTGTCGTTGTTGTTGTTGTTGTTGTTGTTGTTGTTGTTGTTGTTCTTATTGCTGTTATGGGAACGCGAAATGACTAAAACATCTGGCAGCACTGCTACGTATATTAAATATATACATTTGAGAAATTCTTAAAACTTTTATTTTCAAGCACGAATACAAGATTTAGAAAAAAAAAAAAAACAACTCCACTTCATATTCAAACATTCTTTTAATTATTATTTTTATTATTATTAGGATACCCGTATAGGTGTACGAATAAGGTAAGCAATGACGTCACTTTATTTTTAATTAAAAGTAAATAGACTAAGTTTTAAAAATTTTCAACCACCACATGGTGTACCAGCAATATCCAAAACTGAAGGCTTAACAAAACGCGCTTTCTAATTTCGTTGGTAAACTGCAACTGTTGACTGTTAAATTATAACTAATCTAATAGAATGAGCGATATTCGCTGATATCCTTAAATGATGATAACAGTCCTTCAACAGTCCTGTTTCTGTTCGCCGTTGCTGAACATGTGCTGGTTAAAGTAGCTCTCTTGCTGTTATTCTCCCTCTCTCTATCTCTCTCTTTCTCGTTCTCTCATTCACTCTTTCTCTTCTTCTATAAGCTTATACACGTGCATCTTACTTACTCTCTGCGGCCACTTCTGCTTGTAAGGCTGCAAATTCAAATTAATATTACTGTCCTGATTTTGTTGTTATCCTGAATACATTTACGTCGGCTTACTAATCCTTTCGTATTTCTCTTTCATTGGTAAGCACACGCGGAAAGAAGTTTTTTTGGGGGGGTATTTGCAGCCATTTGGCAAGTGAAGCGGACAAAATGTTAAAATGTTGCGTTTCGTTTGCAGCCAGACACAGCTGTCTGCGTTATTTTTATTTATAATCATAAACATCTATATAAGCAAAGTATTTCTTTGATACCCACCACCACCGATAATAGTAATGTAGTGTAGGGGCTTTTGGTTTATCCTCTCTCTCACGCCGAGACGGTCGCCACAAGGGTGTATACGTACATGCAGACGACAGCATTAGATGACAAGAAGCGAAATATTAACGCGAAAAAGCGTTCGATTTTATTAAGTTTTTATACCAATAAAATGCAAACGAAAGGGAGGAGAGGGAGATCGTCGTCGTACTTCAGCTAAACTGGGCATTAACGTGATAAATTTGTGGTATACGACTGCACAAAATTCTGAACAAAGTTATGCATAAGATTGCGTTTAATTAAGAGAATTCGAAAGATTTTTGTTGCACAGCAGCATAACATTTTGTCCGCTTATCCTGAGTGACTATTTCCGTCATAAGCATAGTGGACCACAAAGCCGTTAAGGGTTCATTGAGTTCCTTCTCTGCATGATGGAAAATCCTCTTTCTCTTTGCCGATATTACTGCATGGAAATATCCGAATGTGATCGGGCAAACAGGCCCACCTTCAATTCAAACGAAACACGGCTTAAAACAAGTGATGAATAAGTCATCAATGTAAAAAGATTAACAGAGCTTGATGTTCTGGGTAGTAGTAGAATACAAAGCGACGTCAATTCCACACAATAAGTATTTGAAATAGTAGTTAAAGGATTATGTGTATTCTATCTAGCTTTCACTTAGTTGACATCAGCTAGGTCGTCTATATCTGTCCAAGATTACAGCACAATTCGCTTGTACGTACGGGAGCTTTTAGATCTTGCTTGTAGCCAGTCGACCGTGTGAAATGGCTTCAAGTGTTCATGGGTTTCCAGAGGACTTCTAGGTTATGTACGCATATGCGGCTTCACGGGAACTCTTTAACGAAAATAAAAGAGAGTTGTCTACCAATAAAGTATTTTAAAACGGTTGTTCGATTTTCTAAGCGATCCCATGTATGGCCGCAAGTGTTCGTATGTCGCATGGCACACTACCGTCACTTTGTGCTGCTCTGAAACAATCTAATGCAGTCCACAGCTAATACAAAAACAGCTACAAAAGTCTAACAGAACTATCTAAAATTCACAGCGCAAATAAAGGGCTCCTTAAAGCTCTATGTTCAAGTCTCTCTGGTCAATGATTGTGAAAGCAATGTCAAGCATATCTCATTGATTTGAGGTGATGATTACTAAAAATGCAAAAGTAAAAGGTTTCAACCGTGGGTACAACCTTTAAACTCAAGGATTAAGGCATAGTCATTTTGTCGTAAGGCACGCAACACACAAAAGAAAACTTCAGAGGCCCCACAAAGTATATAAACTCATGGCCAGCTTGACATTCTGGATCGATTAAGCTATGGGCGGCCATCTGTGCGTCTGTGTGCGTGCGTGGTGTAAAAGAATTACACATTTTCTTTCATTTTTTTGAGATCTAAAATTAATGTGGTGGACGCCACGATATGGTCGATTTATTTTTTCCTAACAATACCATCAATATGGGTATCAAATGAAAAAACTTAAAAAAGCAGAACGCGAAAAGCTAAGTGCGTTAGTTCCAGATGAAATGTCGCGTACGTCTTGACGTGCTGGACTAATTTTTCCATCACAACACCGCCGGTATGGGTATCAAATAAAAGCACTTGCAGAGTAGAATGCGATAAGCTAAGTATATTCTAACTTAATTATAGTGGATGTCATGACGTGGTCCATTAATTTTTACTTAATAAAATCTTCTAGTGAACTAAAAGATGGAAGATAAATTTAATTCCATTCACTTTTTTACAACCATTACTAAAAGCATGGCGCCCTAAATATTTTAATGGTGGTGGGTATGCGAGATTCAACCCCAGCCGAATATAATTTTTTTACTTATTATACTCTACACCACTTGTGGTATAGGCTACGTACGTAACACTTAAAAGATTTTAAGATAGATGAAGTTTTTATTGTACCGATCTAATCTTATCTGTCCGTCTGTCGGTCTGATGTCTGTCCATGTAAATTTGTGATCAATCTGCGGGTCGAAATTTTTTAGATATTTTCATGATTCGGATCACTCCACTATTTCGACTACTCCACATGTAACGCCTTTTTTTGAAAAGTCGTTGTATGGAAAAAAATTACAATTTTTCAAACTTTTCGATTAAGATTGCTCTGTAATAATATTTCGTTATTCTAAATTGGTATGAAAAATTTGGTTCGGCTGTCGCAATTTTCTGAATCTCCCCTCATATAATCCTTTCTACGAACACGCCGTCTTTATCTAGTAAGAAAGTATAATTTTCAATATTTCATGGTTCAAATTGATTTATAAGAGTAAATTGAAAAAGAAACCAACCCTTTCGAATTTGGACCATGTAGGTCTATTATTTGGATACCACCGCATATGGCAAGAGGCCTAATTGTTAATATTTTACGATGAAAATTTGCTGGTGACAGTAATTTGACATTAAAATTAAGTAGACCAAACTTGATCCAGATGGGTCCACATGGGTTTCGTGAACCACATTCCATATAAGAATTCCCAGAAATAGGAAGCCCATAAGAAAAAAGGTTCAAGTTTTAATATTTTATTTAGCAAACTAAATTAACTAAAAAAATGAACGGTAGGGAATTTGGACCACATAGGTCTCTTTTTTGAACCCTAACATATATAAGGGATATCTTGAGAAGGCAGCCCTTTCGTGGATAGAAAGTATAATTTCTAGTTTTTTATGAGAGGAATTGAAAAATAAGAAAATTTTTGAGAAGTAAATTGAGTTTCCCAAATTTGGATCACGGCATGTGACGTATTCAATATACGGGTTTTCAGGCAAAGCATTTTGGGGAAGTTAATGAGCAATTTTTGATGTATTATTACCAAAACTAGCATATAATTGGACTAGGAGAATCAGTGTAGGCTACTGAAAGGGCGACCTTGCCTGACTATAATGTTCTTAATTGTTTTTTTTTTTTTTAAGGGCTACAAATGTAGAGTAGAAGCCTGCAAACAAGTAAACCATTAAATAATTTTTCGCATGGAAAAATGCATTTCTTTTTTTATTTTAAAGTTCGCAGCTAAGCTTTATCATAAAGTAACTATTAAATAATATATTATATTATCATATAGTATTGCATTGAAATTATGTAATAAATTTTAATAATAAATTCAATAAATTTTGGTCTTTATATCTTAAAACTAGTTCACGTTTAGGCAAAAGTTATTATTATTTTAAATAATTGCTTAAATTTTGGGATTTTTTATTAAGAAGTTCCATCTGAGAAATAAAGATGAGCGAAAAAGTATGAGCGCGAGTTTTGAAGCCTTTGAATGATATGAACGATATCTATTTGAAGAAATATTTTTTTTTCTTTTTTTCTATCTGTGGCGGTTGCTCGATGGCTACCTGTCGACGCGGCAATAGTGGAGGCGGCGCATCAGGATCGCTATTATCTTCATTCTCATTGTTGTCCGGCGAATTGGGCCTCGACGATCGCAGAATTGATTGCATTTCAGGCGGCGATGGTGTGGTTTTATTTTCATTATCAGCTTCGGCAATTTTATTTAAACGTAAGCCATGCACCGAAGCTACATCGGAAGGAGTTTTTACGTGAGAACCATTATCGCCTGCTTCACTGGCTAATCCTAGACCAATGGTGACGCCTATTTTAGCACTGGCCTGTTTAAAAGTATCACTCAATTTGATTTGTACCACGTTAATGAACATAGAAGTTAAAGCCAAACCGAACACTAAATATATTATACTACACATCATAAATATCGGATGATTCGGTACAAAGTCGCCGAAACCAATTGTGGACATAGATACGAAAACAAAATAAAAAGCCTCGAAATAGGTCCAATCTTCCCATAATGTGTACACGAAGGCTCCCAAAAGGATATAGGAAATTAACAAAAGGGACGCTAGTGATATGGGCAGATTGAATTCGTCGTCAACAATAATCGTATCGGGATAGGGTGAAGAGGGTGTTTCGGGATGGGATTTGCCAGCTTCCGATGCTTGCGATTCGACGTCGTTGCCACCTCCTCTCATGCCGAAGAAATGGCTAGGCCTTCTTACAGCCAGATTGTATACCGCTGAGAATCCAGTCATGGCGTCGCGCACTTGTTGTTGCTTACGGATCTTTCGACATGTACCTGTGTAATATAGGCGACGTACAAATCCCCAAACGAACTTGAAGCCTCTTGTAAAAAGCTTTCCAAAGTCCGCTAAGAGTATTAAAAACATCGGTATACCAATTATGGCATAAATAATAGTCAACGATTGTCCTAAAGTAGTTTTCGGTGTTATGTGGCCGTAACCTAAAAAAAAAGGGATAGAAAATGAATCAATAAATGTTTGACGGATAAAATTTTCTTAATGAGTAAGTAATAATATAAAGATATTCGAGTTCATTTGAATTATGATAGGCCCACCTATAGTCGTGATTACTGTCCAACAGTATAAAATGCAATTAACGAAATTCCACGATTTTTGCCCAGGAAAATATCGTATACCAAGTTCACCTATATGATGCAATTCTTCTTCAAATTTCCTCAGTTTCTGTCGAGCTAAACTTTTCCAATCTTCTTCTCTAAAATTCGAGAGAAATGAAAATCGTTTGCTATAAATTGTACAACTTTTGTTTGCCTCACCTCATATAGTGGCTGTGCGTCCAGAGAGCATCGATAAAATCTCTTTTGACTTTACGTACTTCGCATTTGTAAATGTTTTCAGCTGAGCCCTCGGTGTAACGAAACATAAGACCTCCGAAACCGATCATTAAGGCTAAAAAGACAGCATGTCCTAAACATCTGTTGCGCAATTTTTTGAGTTCCTTCAATTCTTCGGGATAGGCGGCCTTCATTTTTTGCCATTCGTTATGATAGCGTAAGAATTCTGCTTTCAAGAATGCTTTACTTGGATAATTTCGATTATCTTGGTTTGGGGGCACTGATGGCAGCGGTTCTGCATCTATTTTCTCTTCTTTGGTTTGTGATTTCTTGAAAAATTCTACTATTCTTTGGTAAAAGGAGGTTTTTTCCTTCATACTTTGCGTGTGAAGAGTCTCATCAATTTGTGGCTGTCCATCTATTTGATCGTTCTTCTCTAAACATTGCTTTGTTTTTCGTGTGGGTTTGGTTACAGAATCGTTTGAGGTTAAAGAATCACGTCTTCTGGGAGGTGGTAGAGGTCTCGAATAAGGCTCCTTTTCAGATTCTAAATCCGTGCTCAGTGGGTAATTATTATTTGCTCTTTCTGAAGATTTTCTTCTTATCTCCGTTATTTGTTCAGAAGTTCTAGAAAGGCTGCGTGGCTTAGGAGGGGATAAAGAGTTATTGCGACTTAAAGATCGTCTACTCGGTGGCTGGGGAGGAGGAGGACCACGTGTATGCGATTTGGCCAAAGCACTGTTATGCCTTCTGACGGGGCTTAATTGCTTGGCTAGTTGTTGTAATTTGTTCTCTTCGGAAGTTTCGGCATCGGACGAAGAGAACTGTGTAGAAGACTCATCATATAAACTACGTCTTTGCCGTCTACTTTGAAGAGTTTTAATAGGGGTGTCAGATATTCCAGCTCGTTCTGATTTTGAATCGTGCATCAAAAGCATTTTCTCGTTTTCATTTTGTGGCAACTTGAGCCGATCGTTAAGGAGACGATAATTTTGCAAAAGTCTTCTTCTTTCGTCACTGTCAAACATTGGTCGGTGTCGTAGTTTCTTTTCTCTCTTCTCAAATTCGAAAAGCCTCTTTTCCACTTCAAAACGCTTGCGTTCTTCTTCGAATCTTGCCATATTCTGTCGCAACCTTGTTAGGTTGTCATCTTCTTCTGACTGATATAGTTGCTGTTGCGATTGCAACTGTTTAGATGGTGGCGATAGGGTCCGCTCTCTAGACAGCATTTCACCTTCGCTTGACTCACCGTCTGCTTTTTTGCGTGGCATAGATCGGCTACGTTTAACAATGCGTATTATCTCATGCGCTTCTGGATCTGATAGTTTTTCTGCTTCGCGCGGTTGTGAAAGAGAACGTGCTGCCGCTGTTGCAAACGTTTTATCTCGACGTCGTAATATTTTACTTTCGTGAGCGGAAAGTGGACGAGGCGGCCGTATTTGCATGCTTATAACTTGAGCTGCATTAATATCCTCCGGAGTAGCGTCGAGATCTAGTAGACTGCTGTCATCTCCTGAGGAGCGTTTGCGGAAGCTAGGCTCAGGTGTTTTCTCACGCACTGATCGGCCTATCCGGCGTCTTCTTCGTATATTGATCGCGTCTGAGTAATCTAAAGGATCCATACTTCTCCTGGCTATGGTTTATTTTTCCTATCACTTTTGTGACTTTATCGTTTATTCCTTGTTTCAATTATTCGCTCGAATGAATCACTTTTAAAACAACTTATCTATTTTGCTTCTTGCTTCACTTTTCGCTTTCGTTTATTTTTAACACAACAACAAATCGCTCTTTGTTTTCACTTTTTAAATAATTTAAACATACTTTCGGAAATCTATTTTTAAAATAAACCTAATTTTAGTCATAATTTAATGTAAATGAAACTAAAGATTATATCACAAGTGCTTCCTGATGGCACTTTTTACCTTTGCTTTTTAATTTTCGTCACATTTCACATTATATGCTTGTTTGTACGCTTGTCGTAAACATCCTTTTAAATAAAAATTAAATATTTAAAAATAAATAAAAAAAACATCTAATAATAATATGCTGATCAGTTGATAGCGTATGCACATATTTAAATGATGCGGTTCGGATAGTTGCGCTGTCTGAAAATACACTAAACATTCGCCGCTGCTTCTCATTTTGCTAAGATATTGAAAATATTTTCAAATCTTTTTTTTCTGTGATCTTCTCGTAATTATATGGAAATTCTCTGAGAGATAAAATTTTGTTAAATTTTCGTGTTTTTGGCCGTTTGACACGTTTTTATGAAAGCAATATTGAAAAGAACTTATAGCATGTTTGCTTAGACGAAAAATATACGCCACAAATGCAAGAAAGGCGTTAAATGAACTTTCGGATACCTTTCATTTGTAATATATATATATGTGTATATACTTTAGTACTTATAAAGTGTTAAGGAGTTGAAGGATTTGAGATGAACCTGATACTGCAGTTAAAATCATTTTCGGATGCTTGTCTGTACTTCCCTATATCTGAAGCCTATTCAAATATATATACATTTAACCCAAACCACGCACATTTTGAGATATTTTGGTGAAATTTCCTACAACTCCATCGCCAAAAGACAAATAGTATTAAAAATGGATTGGATTGCATCACTTTGACGATTCTTAACATTTCGCGACATGAATCGGTGACAAATAGCATTTTGGCGCTACATGTGAATTTGTGAAAATTTGGTTGCGATGAGACCATTTTTGGGACTTCTTCTCACATAAACGACAATGCCAGCATTTATATGGCAACAAGTCTTCTGGTTGTTTTGGATCACATATGCCTATTTTTCGGTCGACTTTCGATCTTCTCAACCTTTTTACTTAGCTCTACATTGCAGCGAGCCCTTGTTGCGATTTATGTTAAGAGACAAATCCCATATAACTAAATAAAAAAAATTAAGAAAAACGTTACAGCCAGGCAAGGTCGAAATTTAAATGCCCTACGTCAGTACGCATAAAACCTTTTTTCATTTGCTTTCGTCATAAATTACCAAAACTTAAATGCAAGGGCATACTCTGTCTGAGAACTCTTATAAGGGGCGGGGACCAGAGAAATCAAGAATTTATAGACTAAGTTTGCAATTTAGCAATTGTTATGTAAAATGAGTTTAAAGGAACTGACGCCTCTGATCCATACTTGTCACATCAATTCAGTATGCGGGAATACGGTTACTTGATGTTTTTTGCCGAGAAGGTTTTGGAATCCAAGTTCAGTTAATTAAAAAATGGTTCTATCCAAACTATTTTCAATATAGTGCGTTATTGGGCCGAAATCCTTCAGTGTAGAAAATTTCATTAATATGTCTTAAAAACTGGGATTCGTTGGTTAAACATAAAAACACTTAGACAGATATCAGACGGACAGATAAGCTCAAATCGATTCGGAAAACGATTGTACGTTGATATACTTAATCTATAACTTAAATCTAACCGTACAGCTTAGTCGTAACTTACATTCTATTGAGTATTACATGCATCTCCTTAAACTTAATATACTCTATATGGCGAATGGTGTCGAAATATAATTGGCATGACGGACAAACATGATCACTTGAGAGAAAATATCAAAATATGTTGTTGAAAGCCAAAATATTAAATTAAGAATGAAAATAAAAACAAAATAAAAACTTTTTACGCCTATGGTAATATACTAAATAACGATGGGCTCCTTGAACTTTTGATTGTATTACAGTTGTCTGAAACATCGAATCTGTAGATATGTGGTCATTCTTCGTGCGGCCATTAAAGAGTGTACAGGGAACTACAACTATGGAAAGCAATAAGGGTAACTCTGTTCTAGAAGGGGTTTCTTCAAGCCTATCAGCCCGTAGAATTTTTCTCTTCATTGTGCTAAGTGCCATGGTAAATCTGTCCAGTTGTGAACACCACTACCAAGGAGAGACTTGGGTTATTGCGAATCTCTACAGAAGCCAAATTTAGCTTCCATCAGATTCGTATTCAAACGTGCCGGAGGTCGATTCCATCAATAGCGAAATTACGGCTACCATATGTTGTAACAAAAACACAGTCGTGCATGTTCAGATATTGAAGGCAGACTTAGTTAACCAATGTAATTTTAAGTAGCGGTAGCTGTTATTAATGGTTATATAAACAATCGAGAATCGCGTCGAGAAAATGAAATTGTTTGATGCCAGCATAGTAGAAACATTCCCTTTACATTTCAAAAAACCAATGCCATAATCGTTATAGAAGATTTTGAATTTTGTTTTCAGTTGCTTTACAGTAGAATAACAAAACTCACTTCATTCGGCGATCTGCAGTTGCAATGCTTAGAAATAGGATCCAAATGATAAAGCCATGTTTCATTCCTGAAAATATTGTTGACGGTTAGAACAACACTCATAGTTTTAGCAACGACATTTTTTGTCAATTATGTGACGATGCCCGTGACGATATATATGCACATCTAGTGTAGCAGTATAGAGAAAAAAAATTTTTGAATGACTGGATATTTATGGTCAGGAGAATAGTAAATACCGCCATTCATTCTTGATATAGAACTCGAATATTTGGCCGGTGTGCAATTAAGTTGGGTTCAGAGTCCAAGTTTGCAGATAAAACGCTAAACAACTATTGGATCAGAAAGAAAAGAGAAGACCCGTGTTGAATGTAGAACTGTGACTTGGCCACTTTTTAAAGTTTGCAATAGAAGAATCATTGCTCGAACTATCTTCAAACGTTAAATTGCCTTGAGATGTTGGCTACTGAAAGCCCGCTTCCGTCGTGTGTGTATAGTTTGTGTTAGAAAATATTTACGCATTTTAAACAGCATTGATTCTATTTCCTTCCCTCCTCCACCCTATCTCTTTCTCTCTCTATACCCCCTCCCTTTTTCTCAGATGGATGAACTTACATCAACAAGCTTCATCTTTGATTTGTTTGTTGTTTTTTGTTATTTGTTTATTTTTTTTGTTTGAAATTTTAATAAAGTCATATATAAATAACAGATATACAAGTAAGTGGTGTATTTTAATTTATATTTAGAAGAAAATTCGATGAACCAATAAAATCGGTAAGAGGAAGGAAATCGAATTTGCAAAATGGAAATGTTTAGATTTGAAAAGCGAGGTGAAAATATTTCTGTTGTAAAATAAACAATTGAATGATATTCGCGGAAAGTTGACTGTAAAAAAAAGTACAAATGTACAAAGAATGAAAGCAATCCTCACCAATACCTGACATGGATGAATTTGAAATATTACTTCTTCAGTGCTCCTTGTAGATGCAATGCACATAACAAGAGAACTAACGATACTTTATATCATACTTTATGTCATCTTTTCAGTATACCTTTTGTTTAAATCCTCAAAGTTATGAAAATTCGCACTGAAGTGCACTTATTTCTGGCTTAATTACTGTACAGAATGTCGCTTACGAAGCGCTTACCTCAGCATCTAGAAGGGAGTACGAAAGTTTTCTTATCTTTAAAATTTATTGTATTTAGAATTCACGGTCACAACAACAACTCTTTCTCTCAGTTTGACAACTCCATGTTAAGTTACCATGAGGACTGTGAGCATAATCTTACGTTCATTTTTTAAAAGCTGCGCTATTTCGAAATATTACTCTTGAGACAACGCTCGGTGATGAGAGTTGCAAGAGATGTCAACGATACAGTATTGCAGCGCGAATGGGAAGCTTTGCTGAACCCAAATGCATCGACCTGACATGGCGCCTGTTAACTACCGCTTGGTTAGATCAATGCAGCATGGTTCACATGGCACGCGGTTTCGAAATGCTAAAGAAATGCGACAATGGGTGGATGATGGGATCGTTGTCAAACCAATACACCGTAATGCCACGTTGCCAGAAAGGCGGCAAAAATTTGTTGAAAACATTGTGATTAAAAATATATTATACAAATTTTTCTCAGTAAATGTATTTCTCAAGTGAAAAAATGATCAAAATCAATGCAAGCATCTTTTTTTGTAAAATTAGTTGACTCCTTGACTGATTGCTATTTCTTTCAATTTCTGGATCAAAATATCGATACAAGTTATCATTGATAGTTACTTGGTTATATATTGAAAGGAATGATTGGGATGCCTTGGGGATTTACTGCTTGATCGCAATTTTTCAGAAAATTCGTCTTTCGCAAGCAAAAGATGTCTTGGTTTGCGGATGGACGGACTGACAAGCATGCCTGAATTGAACTAGAATTCTTCATCTTTAGTTGTGAAATAGATATCTCTTTTGAAAAATTAACCTTTTACATGGACGACTATGTAAACCTGAGCGGAATTTCTACAAAGCCTTCGTTTGAGTGATTGAAAAATTCCATAAAATATCAAATGATTGTGTTTGGAATGGAAGTTCAGGCATGGCTGTCTATACAACTAAGACAGCCAGACTGCAAATATATTTACAATTTTTCAGTTTATTACACAGCAAATTATTTGGTTTTGCATGCTGCTGCATTAAAAATAAATTACTTGTTAAACGAGAGGTTCGCGATTAATGATGAATAAGAAATATTCAAATTTTCATTTCAATGTTCAATAAAAAGTTTAAATATATTAACTTAATTTGGTTTTTTAAACATGCTTCTGATTTCTACTCTTTTGGGACATCTGAATAATTCGTTCAAAGACTATCCTCCGTATTGAGAAAATTTTAATGGACCTTCGAAAAGTGTATTCCATTTATTAAGTATATCAAAATTCGCAACCCGTCAAATTTTTTAACGTAAGATGGTCGTAATCAGTCGTAAGTTATGTTTGTGGAGATTAATTAATAAACAGCGAATATCTGCAAATTGATTGTCTTCAGCTTATTTGTTGTTGTTACTGCATCTTATATACCGCGATATAAGTCTGCGCTTGTTTTCCTTACTTTAGTTGCATTTTGCATTCTTTTTTAATCTCATTTATATTTTCTGACATGATAAGATAAACTTATGTTAATTAACGTGAAGGCCCTGAAGGCCTTCTTTTCGTTTTCTATGAATTTCGAAATTATTTCGACCAAAATCAATAAAAATTTTGAAAGGTTATATAAAGGTGCTCAAGAGGCATTCTCACGTCAAGGGTTGAGATGTTAAAATGCATTGGCTACGCGACTTATTTGGTGGAAAT